GTGGTGTGGTGTGGTTGTGCCCGCGCTGTCTTGCACCCCCTACTGAAGCAGCAGCGACATCAGCGGCATCATCATCATCATCATCGTCGTCGTAGTCCTCACTATCGTCACGTCCTCATCGCCATCATCATCGTCATCATCATCATTACCATCATGGGGCGGGGCCCGAATCCTACAGTAGGGTGCCTTCGCCGCGGGTCCTTATAGTAAGGATTCTCTTGTACAGGGAGCTGAATCCGGCACCAAACCTAAATTTGTAAGAGCGCCTTTACTTCGCGGTCTGGGAACGTTTCCGTGTGTTCGGGCTTGAAGATGTAGATCCTATGTTTCTGGGATGTAGGTGATACGGTCTTGGTCTTGGGGTCAAGCTCTTACATTACTCGCATCCCCCCAAATTCCGGACATCATTCACCTTGACACGGGGTTTTAGGAGTTTTAGGGGGCTTTAGGGTTTAGGGCTTTAGGGTTTATAGGGGCTTGGGAGTAGGGGTTTGGGGTTTAGGGTTTGAGGGCTTTAGGGCTTCAGGGTTTAGGGGTTTATTGCTGTTGAGGTTGCTGTTGCTGTTGCGGCTGCTGGTGGTGCTGGTGGTGCTGGTGGTGTTGGTGCTGCTGGTGGTGCTGGTGGTGCTGCTGCTGCTGGTGCTGCTGGTGGTGCTGGTGTTATCGGTTACGGGCTTGGGCATCGACTCACTCAGTCGGCCTCCGCACGCAGGAGGGATTCCAACTTTAGGGCTTCGGGGAAGTTTGGGCTTTGGAAGTGCGGAGCCTACGATCGAGACTCCATCCGGCCCTCTGAAGCTGAACTTGAAGCGGCAGAACCTTCCCAATAGTTGCGCCATTTCTCGGGCTCTCTGCTTTGTGTGCCAAGAGCTGAGTACAGCGTCGTACGCCAGTGCTTCCGTGGAACTTAGGGTTCAGCCTTATTATTTCGGGCTTCGGGCTTAGGCTGCGAGGACTTTTCTATGCATGCTCCATACAAGATGCGACGCCTGTGTTGCTATATTCCAATTAGGAGAGATTTAGGGTATGCTCCATACAAGCTGCGAGGATTTTTTTGATGTTGTTTACTAGCTGCGAGGATTATTCAACTTACGAGGACTTTTAGGGTATGCTCCGTACAAGATGCGAGGATTTTTGGGATGTTTTTTGCAAGAAGTAGATGACAGGATGACAGGAGTCATTGGTTTTCTCCATACAACTAGCGAGGATTTTTTAGCCTATGCCCCATACAAGATGCGAGGATTTTTTTGATGTTGTTTACTAGCTGCGAGGATTATTCAACTCACGAGGGCTTTTAGGGTATGCTCCCTACAAGCTGCGAGGATTTTTTGGGATGTTTTTTTGCAAGAACTTGATGACAAGAGTGATAGGGTTTCTCCATACAACTAGCGAGTATTTTTTAGCGTATGCCCCATACAAGATGCCAGGATTTTTTTGATGTTGTTTACAAGATGCGAGGATTATTCAACTCACGAGGGCTTTTACGGTATGCTCCCTACAAGCTGCGAGGAATTTTGGGATGTTTTTTGCAAGAGCTTGATGACAAGAGTGATACGTTTTCTCCATACAACTAGCGAGGATTGTTTAGCGTATGCCCCATACAAGATGCAAGGATTTTTTTTGATGTTGTTTACCAAGATGCGAGGATTATTCTACCTACGAGGACTTTTAGGGTATGCTCCGTACAAGCTGCGAGGATTTTTTGGGATCTTTTTTGCAAGATGAGAGGATTCCTTGGGGAGCTTTTCAGGCTTATGATTTCGGCTTTCGGGTTTAGGCTTCGTGCCGGCAGATCTAGGATCCTCAGAGTACTGGCGCAGACTTCTGCAGGACACGTCGCTTCGGTCTCTTCTCAGGTAATAACAAATCGTAGTGTACGGATGTCCTCGCGGATTCGTGCATGGTTGCCATTTTAACAACATGACTAAACCCTAATCCTCTCATCCTTAGGCCGACACACTATTAGCTCGAATCGAAACCCAGAAAACAACAGCAGCATGCTCCTGAGCAGACGCACGGGGCCCCCTCGCCAAGCACCGCCATCGCCGACGCCGGGCTCCGTAAAGACGCGCTTAAGCTCGCCCTCTTCGATCTGATAAATCTCCACTGTCAAGCCTTCCATGCGAACGAAGGCCTCACGGGTGGACGTAGAAGCCAGACTAAACCATAAAGCCCGAACGACAAACTTAAACGCATAACCCTACCCTACAAGCCATAGACCTGGACGTTCGCGAAGGTGGCAAACGTCCGTGGATGATTAGCATGCTGGAAGTAAAGCTGCCAGTCCCAGGATCCTTCTTGCTGAAAACTGGGGTCGTCTTCCATCTCTGTGCTCAAAACATCGGCCATGACAATGCGACCCTCGGCCGATAGCCGGCGCAAGTGTAGCTGCATGTGCGTCATGATCCTGCTGCGGAGGACCTGCGCCGCCTCTGAATCGTCGCGGAGATCCTTCCATATTCTGGCTTCGAATGAGGCAACTAAACCTTCAACTTAAACCCTGAAGCACTGCTTCTGGCACGGCGACTCCTGCAAAGCTCGACCGCCGAGCCATGCCAGAGCCATACTGAGCGCCCGGTAAAGACATGCTCCATCCATGAGGCAGCGGACGACGCGATACTCGCCCATAACCTGCAAGTGCAGGGTATGGTCATGTTTCCATGCGATTTCTGCTTCACCCCAGGACTTCTCATGGCTGAGGCTTCAAATGCCTCGCCAAAACATATGCCGGAATCCTCAACCTAAGACGCTTCCTGCCTCAGACGGCGGGCCAGACCGCGACTTGACAGGCGGACTTGGCACGTTGTCATCGTCAGCAGGAAGCGAGCGGGGCATCAGCTTCAGGTTGGCCTTTATGTCATACTCAGCTTCAGGTTGGCATGTTTTTCATTCGGAACAAAAGCTTCGGGTTGGCCTTATCGGCTTCTGCTTTAGGGTTTAGGCGTCAGGCTTTAGTGTTTCCAGGAACAATTCCAAAAATCCTTGCCTATGCGATGGCCTTCCTTTCGGTTTGGATCTACATGACGAACGTTGAGGTTATCGGCTTTGGTTTCTTGCTGTCGGGTTTAGGCTTTAGGGCTCATGAGGCTTTAAGGGAACAGTTGAAAAAATTGTTGGCTGCAATTCTTGGCTGCACGGTCCTCATGCTTGTAGCAGCGCGTCCCCGTCCCCACTTCTTCAAGTTCCACGAAGTTGCTGCTGATGCTCTTCACGATGTATTCCCTGACTTTGTCGTGCTTCGTTTCGTACTTCCCATACCCAGTTTTGGACGAGTACTGGGTGCACTTCGCGATCACACGGTCCCCCGAAACTAGCGGCGCTTCTGCGGATTGTGCAGCTCTGGCATCATACTTGATGTTCTTCTTCATGAGCTCCCGGGCCTCAACAGGGGCTTGGGGTTTCCGGGTGATTGCTTTTGCCCATACAACTAAGGAGGATTTTTTAGTGTATGCTCCATACAAGATGCGAGGATTTTTCCCATCTTGTGTACCAAAAGCCTGGATTATCCAACTTACGAGGGCTTTTAGAGTATGCTCCACACAAGCTGCGAGGATCAGAGGATTCCTTCATACTAGATTGCGAGGAGTTTTCCATGCATGTCCTATACAAGATGAAAGGAATGATTACTTTTCTCCATACAACTAGCGAGGATTTTTTGAGCGTCTGCCCCATACAAGATGTGAATTTCGAGTTTAGACGACGAAGCCTGCCAGTCATTTATGGCTTCCTGCACCGGAAGCAAAGATGATTGCACCTGCTCAACTGCTTTGCGGAAGTCTTCTGGACCCAGGGTGCCACTCTGCTCCAAATACTCGAGCCACGCTTCGTCAGACAAAGGCTCTGCATTCTTCTGTAACAGGGTGCGCAGCTGTAGGTTGCGCCAGCGAGAAAGAGCTGGGCGCAACGTACGCCACAATGTCTCCGGAGCGGCGCCCAACGCGGGGTCGGGTCGTGTGTTGTGTGCCAAAACCGCGGACATCAGATTCTTGCGCTCACCCATGTGACTGTGACCTTGATCAAGGATGCGGTTGAACACTTCGACCAGACCGTTGGACTGAGGCCGACCTGGTGGTATGTGTCTTGCTTTGAGCCCGCAAGCCTTGAGGAGCGCTGACTCTATCACATTGCGAAAGGATCCAGCATTGTCCGACCACACTACGAGCGGCAGCTCGTGCTCACAAAAGAAGCGCAGAAGGTGCCCTTGCACAGTCTCCAAGTCTCCGCAGCCGTAGTCCAAATCCCATGCAAATGCTTTTTTCGAAGTAAAGCAAACCGCCAAAAGACAAATCCACTTCTCCTTATTGATCGGCCGGACAGTTTTCATGTCGATGCCAATGACATCGCCCGCCTCACAGGGGTCAAAAACAGCGACCTTCCCAGTTGAAACTCTTAGACTTTAAGCTTTGCAACCCGACACACACCTGGCCAGGCGTCGGCAGATGCCGAATGGAAGCTCCTGAAAGTCCGCGCTGCGTGTTCTTCCTGCACCTCTCGCAGCGAGACACGACGAACTGGGCGTCAAGTTGAACATTCCTCCAACTTTTGCCTTCCTCTTGCAGGGCCTTCACGATGCCATCTCGGCTGCCCATGTGCGACAGCTCTTCATGCACTGCTTGGAGAAAGCTGAGCTTTTGCTTGGCCGGAATACCCGAATCATCCGGCTCCATGGCGCGGCCAGGCCAGTTCGTGGTGCTGCGAAGACAGTGCATGGCCTGGTAGCTTTTCAAATTCTCCGATGGGAGGGCAAGCTCACTCGCCTCCATTACCCAGCGTTCGGCGGCAGCTTTGTCCGCAATGAGCTTCTGCACTTCCACCTTCTCACCAGCAGCATTGCCGCTCACAGCTCCGTACTTCGTTCTGAAGCTCTCCTCGTTGGCCTTGAGTTTTTGCTGGCTGCAGTCCTGGCATTGGCTTCCGGTCTTCTGAGACATGGACCACTGGGACTTGCTGAATGCGTCTTTGCACTTTTCGATGCCGCAGGTGCGGCATGTGCGCAAGCGGACTGGCGCTTTCATGGTTTCCTCTGCGACGCACTCTTTACACTTCGACGTGCTTCCTGCTAACCACTGGGTGTCGCTGAAGCCAGCCCGCGACACGTCGCGCTCACACTTGCCGCAAATCTTGCTCTGCTTGCGTCGCTTCTGAAGCCGTTCGTCTACGGGTAAGCAAGCCAAGCATTTTGGCTCCTGCCAGGGAATAGGAGCCCGCTCAGCCCTCAAGCCCTTGCAGGTATTTACACGACAAAAACAAAAGCCTTGCATCTAGTACTAATTACCTTCTGCGACAAGCGAAGGAATCCACTTAACTATTGATCACAAAGCAGGGCACTTCTAATCGTATACACTGCAAGCTAAGCCATGGCAATGGCACAGCAAACCGAAGCTTGAGATCGAAGCAGAGTTCTAAACACTAAACACCGTCGTTTAACTACACAGCTAAGACAGGTCCCACACCTCCCTAAGCCTACGCAGTGTATTCCTGGGACCTGGCAACGCGAGTCTTGAGCAGTCAAGCAGCAAGTGAAATTTAGTTGGCATGAAACGCAAGAAGCACTCAAGGAGTACGTGTACCCGAGTCCGTGACAAGTCATATCCTTTAACATACACAATTTAACCTGCGTGAGGGTCTGGTACACGATGTTCCGCATAATCTCGCTCCCCTCAGATGAGCTTATTCTAGATGATTTAATTGTGGTGCCCACGATAGGTCTGACAAAGGTTTCCCCTTTGCAGGCAAGCGCTGTCCACTCTTTTGCTTCGCGGGCTCGAGTCAGCTGCTGTCTCTGCAGAAGGGCTACACGCACTTGTCTATGGTATAAGGAATCGCAAGTAGTGCTATGTCGCTTGTTCTTGAACCAAACGCCGATTTAGTGAGCTTGTCAGACTATGAGTCGGACTGAGAGATGGTAACACAGCTCAAGGTGAAATTGCACTAGGCTCCGATATCTCTTCGCATTACCTCACCTCTTTCAGCATCAATTCTTCTAAGATCTTTTAAGGAGAACCCTCTAGCCCCATCCAACTCCTTCTTCTGCCACTGGGTTGCAGCAAACCCACTCCGGTCTTTCGACTGCTTGCACTCGGAGCAAGTCTTGGCCAAGGTCCTGTAATCAGGTTCATTTAATTAATGCTTGAAACCTCAACACTGTATCTTCGAACATTACAAAACCTGACTTCCGAGTCTATGTTCGCCAGGTCTCTCTGCTCGTGGGAACCGCTCTGCAAGTGCGACTGCCACTACTTGCTTCACATCCTCCAGTGAGAGCCCACGCACCGGAACGCGCGCATGGTCCTGCTGCTATATTCTTGTTTGGATGCTCCGTCATCCTCTTCGATTTTCTACACGGTATGCGAGGATTTCTTGATGTTTGTTGCATACTTCATGCGAGGATTTCTTGGCATGTTCCTTACAATACAGGAGTCCTTTCGGATGTTACACAAAGCATGCAAGGATTTTCTCGGGCATGCTCCATACTAGCAAGCGATTTTAGGGGAATCTTCTGTTTAGTATCGGAATGTTCCATACAACATGCGAGGATTTCTTGTTGTATGCTGTGGGATGCTTAAGAGGCCTTCGAGACGCGAGGTTTTTGGGCATGTATCACACGGAAAACACAACCTGTTCCGAAGGGCTGCTCCTGCTGCTGCTGCTGCTTCTGCACCACCAGAGCCGAGGGGCACTTGGAGATGCTTGAGCTGCGGGATCCAGCAGAACCCAGACCCAAGACGTGCTTCCGCGCATTCGACACTGTCAAGCTGTTGTAATAAGCCTGGTTTGGTCTTCGAGCTGAAAACTCCAGAGTCGCCAAAGCTGCCTCCTCGGTCGCCTCCGGGTTGGCCTCAAAAAAGCCACAAGCCTTCGACCAGTCTGCTGCAGACCTGTCACCAGAGGCCTGTGCTCTCTTCGGCGGCCGCTCTCGCACAGCCAATGCACCATCAGCACCCAGGGATAAAGACTTCTCTGAGGTGCACTTCAGATACTCAGCCTCACACATGTCTTGCAGGCAACCGTGCAGCAGCTCCACGCGGCATCCTTTCCCTGGCTTCACGTTCACTGAACCAGCCAACCGACCAAGCTGGCCTTCTTTGGCTGATGCAGGGTCGCCACCCAAAGCTTTCGTCAATGCTTTGGTGACACTCAACGCTGCTTTGCCAGGCATATGCTCGGGTAGCACAAGCCACATCTGCAGACTGCCCACAGACGTCCGTGTCAACGCCCGAGGCTGCAAGGCGAACAGCTGCTCCATCGAGCCCGCATAGTTGTCCAAATCTATCATACACAGATTCGCCAAATTAGGCCTGATGAAGATGTGAACGCCCTGCAGCTTCAACCATTCTGGCAGTTCCTGGTGCACGATCGTCAGACTGGC